TACTAACTACTAACTACTAACTACTAACTACTAACTACTAACTACTACAACAACTACTGCTACTACTACTACTTCGGCATGTTCATGCCCGGAAAACAAAAAATTGCATCTTTGAACCAAAGTTCAGAACCAAGACCCTCTGCCAGACTAGTCTGTGGCACAAACTTGTAAATATTCAAAAATCAATTCCGATATTCAGTGAGGAGTATTGATCAAACTATAGCCCCACAGATGTCTCTTCAGCAGCAGTATAGTTAGAAGAAGAACATGTCAGAACACGACAGTGTCCTTCTTGGAAGTGAAGGTCCAGAACTTGTTTGAGTTCACAGAAGCCCAGGTCACGTGCAAGTCCCAACAAACGTCTTGATTTTTGTTGAACTTCATGGTTGGGCTCAAAACCCGACGTGACAACGGCCATGTTTGAGTTTTATCCATTTCAGACTTCGTCCCAGGTATTGGTACCTTGCTGGCGCTCTTCCTGCACTTACTTCTTCCCTTTGAGACTGAAGAGCTTGACGAGACCGCTGAGCCCTCCGGACCTGCTCCGGCCAAGGGCACCGAGACAGACGTCTAAGACGTCGGCAGCACCGTGATGAAGTCGTTCTTCTTCCGTCGAGGTCCTTCGCACGTTCCCCATGTTTTGCTCAGCAAAGCGTCCGAAACGACTGCATGTGAGAAACTCTGGACAAAGACATGGAAAAACACAGACTTTTGTCATATAGAAAATCACCAAAACACATGGAACATGGTTCTATCGATTTATCAGAATATGTTTGCTCAGTTCCTTTTGTGTTGGATTAGAGTTGTCAGCAGCTCGCATATATGAACCAGCTCAGTGCATCAAGGACTTCAGTCAAGATAGATCATGTGAACCCATTGATTTATGGGTTACAAAATAAGTCGCATGAGTGTTTTCTCATGTATTGTCAATTCAGCCATGACAACGAACATCAGACGCTGCCGAAATGTCTCCTCTCGCCATGCTGTCGGGGTTGGTCCTAGAATTTTAGGGTCTGTCGACGGGAGTCAATTGTTGGGATGAGTACCATGGCATAATGAGTACCATTCTGGTGCTTTTTGCATCGTCATCCACTGGAAAATACAACGATAGATCCAACATCTCACCGGAGCGTCAGACGCAACCTGTGCAATCAAGTGTGATCAAAAAACAACAAAAAAGGTTTGTGAGTTCTACAGACCGGAAATCGGATCAGATTCCGTCGGCAAAGGCGCGGATCGTTGGGCGATTTTGTAAACGATGCTGAGATCATCGCACCAATCTTCTGAAGGTTCTGCAAGCTTAGTTTTGGTCGCGTCCTTCGAAACAAAAGATGAAGAATTCAAACACAGCGTTTTTGGTGATTCCCAGGGCATCCAGTTACCACCATAGTTGGTAACCAGTGGTTCCAAAGACTAAAACCATAGAGCTAGAATCCCTGGTTCCTTATATAGTGGTTTGCCTGGGATGCACTGGGATTATTCATGTAAACTTCTTGTGGTTTCCATGGGGATTGATGTAGATGTTCAACTAACGGTTCTGAAGGTCGACCGGTGGACCCGCTAATTGTACGCACGACCCGTATGTCAGGCATGCTCCAGTCATGCTTGTCTTTACAGGTGAGTGAAACTAGCTGAGACCGTTTCTTCAGAAGCTGAGGGTGATGATCTCTTTTTAAAGAACACGTGTGAAGGATGGTCACTTGCTTAATCTCGGCGATATTCTCCGGTCATCATTTTGGGGTCCGCGATATTCTCCCTGATGGCGTGAAGGAAGCTATAGTGTTTCCTTTTCAAGATAAACAAGAGGAATCAGACCATGTCACTCCGATCTTGTTTGACCTTCCGCTTTGGACCCTCGCCTAGCCGACCTGTGGCGGGCGCCTAGCCGCTTTGTTTGGAACCCGCCTGGAGCGACCCGCAGCTGGGTGGTCGGTCTGTCAACGGGAAGCTCGTCGTAACCTATGACCAAGGTGGTCCAATCCCAAAGTTTGGTCTGAGGGTTTTGCATGGTTTAGCCGCTTAGCCCGACTCAGTTGGACTGTTTGTTTTTTTCCTGAGTGTGCGAATACGGTTAGATGAAAAGAATCATTGGATCTGGATCGTTCTTCCACCAACCAAGGCCTTTGGCCTTTGGCCTTTGGGCATGAGTCTGGTTTACAGTACTTGAGTCGTTTACAGTACTTGAGTCGAATGCATTTTGCATCACTGTTTGCATCATGTTGCGTCCTTCACAAGGCATCCTTCACGAGACAACTGCGGAGTTGGATGGAGTCCAAAGAATCTCCGTCGTCGTCCCATTTTTCCGAGAAAACCCTCATGGAGCGTGTGCCATATGGGTAGCAACCCGGATCGTGATTCCATATTGTCTTAGTTGTTCCCTTGTTGTTCTTGTTGCGCTCTGAGTCTGAGGGGATGTGTAGGCTAGACAATGTCTGAAGTATTGCCACTGAGGGTGTCTGAAACTTGCGTGTTTCGGATGCAACTCACTTGACAACTCAGACATATGACTTTCCAAGTCACTTATCCGATGAGCAGCTCGGCGTTTCACGAGAAAGACGCATCAACCTGACGAGTGATGCTGCGTGAGCCGCAACATGGGGCGAATGGGATGAGCTGAATGGGCTGTGTTCAGCACGGACACGGTACTATTGTCCCTGGTTCATCCTGGTTCTTCAAAGTGACCCAACTTCATATCCTGGTTGGAGATCACAAACAGGCCAGTTAGGCCCGGCGGCTATAAGTTCGATCACAAAACTCCAAGAGGGTCACGAAGTGAAGAACTTGGCAGTTCATCTCATGATCTTCCTCTCCTTGGTCCCTAAACCCCAAAAATGACCAAAGAGAAGCGGCATTGGGTGTCAGGGATGGTTTTTGGCGGGTGATCATATCTTTTCGGAATTCAGGGAGACCTTGGGAGCGGATCTTGGGTAGAAACCATGTGAACCGGACGTGGCGATTGGGCACGCGTTTCGTGTCGAACAGCGTTTGACGTGATTTTTCTGATGGCCGCCAAGTTCGGAGGTGGCCATGTGAAGATTTGTGAACTCCACCTCGGAACCTGACTCGAACTGTAAGAGGGTGAAACCATGTGGACTCTCGAGCTCGATTTCTTCCCAAGCATCGAACAAGAGTGGTGAGGAACACCCCATTCGTCAGATCCCACTCATTCGGTCTGATGTCCTGTCCTCATGAAGGTGAGAACCCTAGGATGCCTTGAAGGTAACTAGAGAAGCTCAGTGATGACTGTATGTGTTTTTGGTTTTTGTGGTGTTTCTCATGCTCGCATCCCAGGTGTGGTTCGAGTTCCTCTTTGGAAGCTTCCTCTCTGGCAACCAGAAAGAGGACACAGTTCTGCTCAGCAACAAATGATCCTCAGGTTTGAAGGTTTAAGACGTTTAAGAACCGTCCTAATCATAATTTGATGCATGAAGCGGAGATGGTTGACTCATCACCTTTTTCCAGGGGGTGAAGCAGCGGTTGATGCTTTTTGGTGTGGTGGGATTGGTTATATAGATTGAGTCCGGCCACCCCCCTGTAACTCTGCAAAAAGGTTTCTTTATTAAGACAACCAGCGAAAATTAGCACCAGAAAATCCTAGATAATTCATCATTACCTGGGGCCTCTCCAAATGGATTTTGAATATGCTAACCCCTCCACTCCTCTCCTGCCCTTTCTTCCCCTTCTTCCCCTCCACTCTCTTCTCCTTTCCTCTCCTCTCCTCTCCTCTCCTCCTCTCCTCCTCTCCTCTCCTCTGTTCTCCTTCCCTCCTTTGCCCTCTCCACCACCACCAGAAGCACCACACCAGCACCAGCACCACAGCAGCCATCACCACCACCACCACCAGCACCCCCAGCACCAAACAGCAGCCCCAGCAGCGGCCACCACCACCAGCCCCAGCAGCCGCCACCAGCAGCAGCAGCAGCAGCGCCACCAGCACCACCACCAGCACCACCAGCACCAGCGCCAACAACCCAGCACCCAGCCCCAGCCCCAGCCAGCCGCAGCACCAGGACCACACCAGCCCCAGCCGCCACAGTCTACATGTTCATTGCTGGATTTGACATATCTTTTTAGTGAAGTATTTTCATGTGACAATCTAGCACACCAATCACTAGAAGCAACGGTTCGAAAAGACCGGCCGCGGAACAGAAGTGGAGGTCACGATTCCAACCTCCCGTTGCTTGCAGGTTAGACAGAGGCCAAGACGAAACCAAATCTTCACAAAACCCTATAAACCCTAAGCCCTAAACCCTAACAGCTGCTTGGCCGACGAAATGGGCCACCAGATTTGACGACATGTAGCACCAGAGAAAGCACAATTGGAAGCACAAAAACAGGCACCAGATTTGACGAAATTTAGCACCAGAAAAAGCACAATTGGAAACACAAAAAAGAGCACCAGATTTGACGAAATTTAGCACCGGAAAAAGCACCAGGAAAGCGCCAGAAACTGCACAGGCGGCCACGACAAAGTCAAACGCTGCTGAGGCCAAGTGCTCCGAGCGATCTGCTTTTGGCTCGCAGGTTCATTCTGGACGCGCGAAATTGAGCACCAGATTTGACGAAATTTAGCACCAGATTTGACGAAATTTACCACCAGAAAAAGCACAACTGGATGCACAAAATTTAGCACCAGCTTTGACGAAATTTAGCACCAGATTTGACGAAATTTAGCACCAGAAAAAGCACAAGTGGAAACACCAAAAACAGCACCAGATTTGACGAAATTTAGCACCAGATTTGACGAAATTAAACACCAGATTTGATGAAATTTAGCACCAGAAAAAGCACAACTGGAAGCACAAAAAATAGCACCAGATTTGACAAAATTTAGCACCAGATTTGACGAAATTTACCACCAGAAAAAGCACAACTGGATGCACAAAATTTAGCACCAGGTTTGACGAAATTTAGCACCAGAAAAAGCACAACTGGGAGCACAAAAAATAGCACCAGATTTGACGAAATCTAGCACAAGAAAAAACACAAGGGAAAGGCTAGAAACGCAAGCGTTGCCAGGACCCAGCCGCCAGAGCCGTGCCCCGGTTCGGCGCCCCGGTCCCCAGGGCCCAGCCCCACGAAAGCCGTTACAGGGAAGGCCGAGCCCCGGTTCCGCGCGCCGGCTCGCAGGGTCCAGCCCCATGAAAGCAGTTAAAGGAAAAGCGGCCCGCCCAATTCCAGAGGACCCAGCCTCACGAAAGCATTTGAAGGAAGAGCCCAGCCCCAATTCTCACAGGGCCCCCACGAAAGCATTTAAAGGCAAACCGGCGTCCCAATTCCCACAGGACCCGGCTCACGAAAGCGCTCGCAGGAAAAGCAGCGCCCCCGTTTCCAATGGCCAGCCCCACAAAAGCATTTGAAAAGGAAAAGCAGTCGGCTTGCCCACAGGACCCAGCCCCACGAAAGCATTTAAAGGCAAAGCGGCGCCCCCGTCCCCACAGGACCCGGCCCCACGAAAGCATTTGCAGGGAATAGCGCCGCCCCGGATGCGCCCCAATTCCCACAGGACCCGGCGCCACGAAAGCATTTACAGGGAATAGCAGCACCCGGTTGCCCGCGCCGCCCCACGAAATCATTTTAAAAGAAAAACCGTCGTATTGCCCACACAACCCAGCCCCACGAAAGCATTTAAAGACAAAGCACGTCCCAATTCCCACAGGACCGAAACAACTACTACTAT